ATTCCTACGTGTGTGTGTGTGTGTGTGTGTGTGTATATATATATATATATATATACTCCCAGTATTTTTCTGGAAGATCACAGGGCTTCACATTTCTCAAGAAATGCATGCTGTGGCCAAAGTTACATTTTCTTTATTATTCGATATGATGAAAAAACACTGTGCCTTGATCACCAATTGAAAATAATGCTTTTTAAAATAATTTATTAAAGTGTGATAATTTCTTATGATCCATTGTCAAATATATAATATCCTAAAGGGTGCAGGCTATTTCCCTGTTTCACATACTTTAGGCCTGTTTCTGCATTGACTTTAATGGAATACTTTGCTTTGGTAGGCGTCCACCCATATGGATGTCATTACAGGATTGGGTCCTTAAGTTATTTCCATAGTCAAACACTTAATTGAAATGGCTGAGACATGGAATAGAGTGCTGTATGGTTTTTATAATACACAATGAGGTCTTTTACTGCAATTCTGAGTGGCTTCTGTTCACATGGAGAAGAGCAAGCAGAATCAGAACTGAAAATGGAGTTTCACTTTGTATGGTGTCCAATGAGACAGTGTTTGAGTATCAACTATTTCTCTCACAAAGTTCCATTTTGATCATACAATGAAAGTGAGCTATCTTTTTGTACAGCACCTAGCAGAATGGAGTCTTGGTCCAAGCCTGGGGCAACACAAATAAATAATACAATTATAGATGGCCAATATTTTGGAAAATATATTTCTGTTTGATGAGAACTTTCCATGAAAAATATTGAAAACACATCACACCTTTTGTGAGGTTCCAGCATGGTGTTCTGTTTAGATGAGTCCCATTGAATAATTCACAATAATTTAAATCCATCTACTGAACGTAGTTGGTTGGGATTTTTTTTTTCCTGTTGCATTTGAATCTTAGTTTCTGGAAAAAGTGCTTAAGCTCCTGATTATAAAACAATAATTTTGTTGAATTTAAAACTTCCTGAATTATTTAAGCTGATGCAGTACTGTTAGCATGTATTGCGTCTTTTTGCCATAAATTTGTAACTGGAGTTGTGACTGAAATTTTCCAGCGTTTCGTGCACAAATCTCTTTACCATTCCTGTAAAAACGTTTGACTAAATCTCCAATAGCTCAACAAAATGACTACCTTTGCTTTTAATGAAAATCCCTGTTTGTATGGCAAATTAATCCATTTCTTTCCTTCCCATTTCTTTTCACAATGTCCTCTTCATCACACTGTAGCTGTTTTAAAACAGATTTAGTTAAATTGGTGCAAACCTTTGTGCGGACACATTTATATTGGTTTAAAAATGGTTAAATTTGCTTTGCACCTATTCATTTTCCAGTGCAAGCTAAACCAATATAAACCTGTATTAAACTGTTTTAAGAGCATTCATCACATAGTTTTGTACCAGTTTAACAAAACCCACCTATTGTTAAACTAGTGTGAATTTGGGTGAAATCCCTTGCCCCATTTGAGTCATCAGCAAAACTCCCACTGATTTCAGTAGGCCAGGATTTTATCACTTGTATGTAGACCAGGTATTTGGAAGACAGCACTACATTGTTTTAAACTCCATTTCCATTTGGAGTGTCACCTTTGTAACCATGAGGCTAAAAACTTCCCTCTTTTTTAGTGAAAGTTTTCATGCTGCAGAGGATTATGGCGCACACATCATATTGATTTATCTCTGGACAAGTGAATTTTTCCAGCCCCATGTTAGTAGGGGGCTGATGCTGGTGAAGACCTGTGCCCCAGGGCAGTAGTGTAGTTGAGGGGAAGCTCAGGTAAATGGAGATTATCTACTTCTCATTTGGAGAATATGAAGTTTAGTTTAGCTTAGTTTACCCATTTCTTTTTTTCCTAACTACACCACTGTTCCAGAGTGATGTGATATGTCAGTTGAAGAATTGAAGGAAAGGAAAAAAATTACACTGGACCAAAAAAAAGTGTGTAGTGAGGAGACAGAAAGTTAAGGGGAAAATGAAAGCACTTTAAACAGTAAATACGTGATATCTGGGAAAGGATTTTCTGCACCCAAATCTTCTGGTTTTCAAAAGAGAACAGAAAATCGGAGAGAAAAGCGGGTAGCACATCATAGCTTTGCAAGTCTGCATATCTCTGTTACTGAGTCAGTGTATATATTCATGCCTATGCACTCCATGCAATACAGTAATTTAAACAGAGATTTGGAGCAGGTGCTCAATCTGTCTTTCTCCCTCTCATAAAAATATTTTCTCCACATCTTTAGAAGAATGAAACATGATACTGTAAACTGACCCTTTTGTAATCAGCGTCAGAAAGCTCTGTTCATATCTTAAATTACGTGAAAACTTTAACGTACCTTATAAGCATTCAATTTTGAGTGCACAGTCCTCTGTGCGAGACTCCAGAAGCAGACTTTCTTTTGTATTGATTAAGTCCCAACATCTACTCGGTCAGCAATATTTCTGGCTGAGATTGCCCCCAAAATCAAAGTCCTCCTTTTTAACATCTGTAAAAATCTAGACCCTTAAAATTACACCGTGGCTACAGTTTTAATGTAAATGTTTGACAGTTACTGTGGAAGAAGGAAAATATTTTTCACAAACCAAACGTTCTACACCTGGATTATATAGTGTACTGTGCAGATAGGAGCAATTTTACTATTAGATGTAGTATGTGTTTAAAATATTCAGAATGCCACAGAAAAACACTTTAACCTTAAATCCAAAATCTTTACATTGGAGTTGTGTACAATGATTCTTGTGTTGTCTTACAAAGCATAACATGGGTATGGTCTGCTGTACTCTCACCTGTTGAAGTCTGTTGCTTGTTCGTAACAACTAAATTCCATGAGACTTTATTGGCATGACTAACCATACAAGTGTTACTAGAGTGCATGAAAGAAACCGAGCCTTCAGGTATCTATCAGAGTTGGGTAAGATCCATCCAGGATAGGGGCAAACATTGTGTTTAGGATTTGATTTCCTGTTTCCATTTTTCAGCAATGGCCATTCCTGATCCACTGGCACAGGGGTGGCCAACCTGTCGCTCCGGAGCCCCATGCGGCTCTTCAGAGTTAATATTCAGCTCCTTGTATAGGCACCGACTCCGGGGCTGGAACTACAGGGGCCAACTTTCCAATGTGCCAGGGGGTGCTCACTGCTCAACGCTGGCTCTGCCACAGGCCTGGCCCCCACTCCAGCCCTTCCCGCCCCTCCCCTGAGCCTGCCATGCCCTCGCTTCTCCCCCTCTCATGCAGAGCCTCCTGCACGCCACGAAACAGCTGATCGGCAGGGCTGCCGGTGGGCAGGAGGCGCTGGGAGTGGGTGGGGAGCTGATGGGGGGCTGCTGACGTATTACTGTGGCTCTTTGGCAATGTACATTGGTAAATTCTGGCTCCTTCTCAGGCTCAGTTTGGCCACCCCTGCACTGTCAGATTGCTACATAGTGTGATCCAATCTCTGCTGTCTTTCCTTTCTTCCAGGGTTAGATACAGTTTTTCGTTACTCCTTTTTGCTTAAATGATTTTTATGATTGCTTACCATTCGAGGAGATTTCTTTCATGTATTTCCTTGTATTTTGGACATTGGAGTAGAAAGTGCCTCTCAGTCTCTTCTTGGCTGCTCTGGGCTTGGATTGTGCTTTATGTCTGATAGTTTCATCAACTTCTTGTAGCAATATGTGCAGTGACTCCCAAGAAGAACCAAAACAGTAAGTGTGATTTATAGTATCATTCCAGAAGGTACATTAAGTAGTATACAGAATATAAATTGATCGCATTGTCTTCTATACATCATCATATTGTACCAAATGTTGCTTGAGTGCATGCAGTACATAGGAATCCATGCTGGGATTAAATGTTAAAGCAGTAGTAGAAGTAGATCTGTCTTAAATTATTTTGATTACTATTTAAGTCTACAGAAAGCAAGTTTAATAAAATGCATAATTGTATAGTGAATCTGTTAAGAGTAATTGAAGCTGCAAAGGTGAGTTCTACTTTGTTTACATTGCACAAATTTTTTCACCTTAAGATGGCCTTTGTTATAGATGTCTACATCTGTTGCTGAAAAACTGCAGCTGACTTTTAAGAACACATGCTGCTGGAAAAGAAGGAAATTTATCCAGGTTTTGGCTGTAGGAATCTGACAAATTAGATATCTTAGAATTCTCATTGCATTGTTTCAGTATTCCCCTCACACTAATATTGACCATAGGATTATATCTGTCACTTCTAACAGGTGGAACATGACCATTACAAATCCAATAACACTTTGCATAAGATGACAGTATGTCTCTCTAGTGGGTGCAAACATGTATTCTTTAGCTTGCTCCTGGTGTTTTTGATTTCTCCTGCTGTATTCTATTTGGTGATGTTGGTGATGCCTTGTCAGAAGATCAGACCAGAATTGATAACTAATTCCCTACCACTGGGGATGAAGGGATATTTTGCACTTCTGTTAGAATTTAATCACATCAAACTGACCTAGAGATTGCAACCTGCTTACTCCCCAGAGAAGCTTTATTGCAGTGCACAACAATCCATCTATGGCACAGACTGAATCTTGGGTAGAATGGCTTGGAGATTTATAAGCCTTGGTACACCTGTATAGCCTAAAGTGGTAGGGTCATTTTGTCTAACGTCCATTTAACACCAGTCAGACTATTAATCTTATTTCAAAATCATCTTTGGATGTTAAA